CCCCCAGCCTCCCAAGGCCGGGAGCCAGGCCTGCGCTCACGTCTCCCGCGACCACGGCCACGTCAACTCTTACTCAAAGGGCTGCTGTTTATTGGCTTCACGTGCTCATTGGTGGCCCCGCCTACTTCGCACCCGTGAAAGGCCCACGACATGAACTTAAGGGGGTGATGACTGGCCCGCACCCCCACCAGCCTTTTCAAGTTCCCAACAAGGCTTAGATGGGGGCCATGGCGGGCAGAGCGGGGCGGGGTGCCCCGTGCACAGGGTGGGCGCCTGGGTTTGCACACGGAGCCCAGGGACCTCTTGGAGGCCTCGGAACAGGGCATCCACGGGGTTCTGCACATCCTTCCCGCATCCCTGCCCACCTCCGTGCCTCTCCTGCCTGCGCCTTCTAGCTCATCCCCTGCCCGATCTGTCCTCCAGGGGGCAGAAAAAACGTGGGAATTTGCATCTGCGGCCCCTGCTTGATACCCTGTTCCTTGAATGTCCAACCTCCTCCTGAAACCCAGGGCCCACCCCCCAAGGATGCCACAGAGACTGCAGAAGGGCAAGCCAGAGGGAGGCTGTGGGCATGAGGGAGGCACAGGGAGGGAGGCTGTGGGCATGAGGGAGGCACAGGGAGGGAGGCTGTGGGCATGAGGGAGGCACAGGGAGGGTGCAGAGGGAGGGCCGAGCCAGGTGGCTGGGGCATGAATGCACCCTGAGCAGCTCAGAGTTCACTCAAACCAGCTCCTGGGAAGGTTGTAGAGAGGCCCCTGGGCGCGTGAGGTGGCAGAGGAGAGAGTTATCTGGCCCAGGACAGCGCTGCCCCAGGAGGGGCCGGGAAACGCTGGCAGGTGTGGGTGGGGGGAGGCCTTGGGGCCGCCTCCTCGGAGCCCCTCCCAGGACTAACTCTCCCGGGTGTCGCGGCGCAGTGAGCGGGCTCCCAGGCTGGAGGGTGCCCCTGGCCACAGCCTCACTGTCCATTCGACACGACATCCCTGCGCAGCTAGACATGTTGGTGGGGACAAGCGAGCAGCTCAGGGAGCCCACGTCGGGCGAGGACAGCCCCCGCAGTCAGAGTCAGTGCGGTGGTGACGAAGCCCAGGCCGTGGAACTCCGGGGGTCCCCTCGCCATGGGGTCCCCTCCCCCGCCCCGCAGTCACCCCACGAGCGCTGCCCCATCTCACCCTTGCTCAGGAGCCACCGCAGACAGCTGGCTCTGCTGCTTCCTTCACGTGAGGCCTTTGCCTGTGTCGTTGCATTTGCCAAAACAAGGCTGCACAGTGGCACTGAGCACAGGGCTGGGCCCACCTCCAGGGACCCAGGCTGGCCCAAGGGGCCAGGGACCCAGCCATGACCGAGATACCGGTGGGAAAGGCTGTGTGCGATGCCCGGGGCCTCGGGAAGGAGGTGTGCAGCAGGGGCCACGGCAGCCAGGCCGGGTGTGAGGCCGAAGTCTCGCTCCCAGGACACCGAAGAGCACTGCGCAGGCCCAGCCAGGCCGTGTCCAGGCAGGACGGGCTCAGGCTGCAGCTGGCACCTCTAGGAGCAAAGCAGAAGCCAGGCAGACAGCCTGCCCGCCTGGCCTCTGATGGGTCACCTGTCCCTCTGAGCCTCGAGGCTGATTATGGCTCCTCCTCAAGATCCTCCTCTCTGGCTCAGTGGATAGGACATCGGGCTGCGGACTGAAGGGTCGTGAGTTCAATTCCAGTCAAGGGCATGTACCTCGGTCACAGGCTCCTCCTGTCAGGGCACATGCGGGGGGCAACCAATCGATGTGTCTCTCACGTGGATGTTTCTCTGTCTCTCCCCCTCCCTTCCACTCTCTCTGACAGTCAATGGGAAAATACCCTCAGGTGAGGATTAACAACCACCACAAATGATCGCAGTCCTCATTCTGTGGAGGGGGAGGGAGAGCGTCATGAGTCTCCTGCTCCCGTGGGGGCCTGCCTTGGGGTGCCGAGGGAGAGGTGGGAGACATGGGAGGAGAGGACTTGGAAAACAGACCAGGTCCAACCCCGGCTCTGCCCCCTGCCCGTTGTGTGGCCCTGGGGATCGCTGAGCTTCCATTTCTCCTCCGTAAAATGAGGGCCTGTGTTCGCTCTTTTGCTGTGGAGCAAGTTGCTCCAGAACTTCATGGCTTAAAGCATCAGTGATCGTGCAGTAGCTCCCATGGCTTCTGTGCACCAGGAATCCAGCAGTGGCCTAGCTGGGCAGTTCTGCTCCTGGTCTCTCGCACGGCTGCAGTCTGAGGTCGGCCGGAGCTGCAGTCATCGGAAAGCTTGACCGGGGCTGGAGGGCCCACTTCCAAGAAGGCTCCCAGGCTGGGGCAGGAGGCCTCAGGGCCTCCCCAGGTGGCCTCCCCTCGGGCTGCTCCTCACGCAGCAGCTGCCTCCCCCAGAGTGAGTGATCCAAGAGAGAATGAGCCAGGAGGAGGCCGCAGTGCCCTTTACACACACACACACACACACACACACACACACCCGGGCCCCACACTCCTCCCCTTGCAGGTTGCACAGGTCCCCGCATTGGGAGCGGGAAGGGACATGAATATCTTGGAGACCACCTTCCCAGTGCCACACCTTGTCTGCTTCCTCAGCTGTGCAATGGGGACACCTCCCACCGCTCAGAGCTGCCAGGTGCTCCAGACAAGAGGGGCTGAGGGGCTGCAGGCTCGGGGCCCAGCATGTGCCAAGCGCTCCCCCACGGGCAGCCTCCGCTGTGCCCCCACCATTGGCTCCAGGAAGAGCCAGAGGGACCAGCCCACCGAGGAGCCTGCTGACCTGCCAGGGGCCCGACGGGGCCCTTCTCTCAATGAGTGGGAACAGTGACAGGCATTGCTTCCCACCCTTCTTCTTCAGGTTTTAAACACCTAATTTATTCCATCCATTAGATAGATTTTGTAGATTTAATCATTTTCACAGTTGGTGGCTCATTGGATACTCAAGATAAACTCCAAATGAAAGTATAATGGTGAGGACAAATGAGTGTTCACACCACAATGGCAGAAACTTGCTTGGAAAGAGAGTTTAAGAGGCACAAAAATACATACAGATATAATTTTTTCCCCGGCAGCTGCTTTTGCTGACTATAGTAGGTTACCACAGTTAATTTCACCAGTTTTGTTCATCTGTAAAATTGCATAAAAGTGACATTTTTGTGCTCATTATAGCAGCTGCTGATTTATGGCTGGAAAATGAAGGGCTGGTCCCTTTTTTGCGGGCCTCTCCGCGCGGTGCTAAGTGCCCATGAAATTGCTTGTATAATGTAGTTTAAATCCAATCCCCAGAAAGATTCCCCCGTTGGCCAAAGTGACATTTCCATTCTCCACACCGAGTTTATTTTAGGCCACTGAGGTGGGGGCTGCCCCAGGCAGGGGCAGGATGGGGGGCTGCCCCAGGCAGGGGCAGGATGGGGGCCCCTGGCCGGTTCCACCTGCCCAGCCCAGGTCAGGCCAGAGGGACGAACACTGCTCCAGCCTCCTCTGGTGCTGCCTGCCCCTCCCCTCCCTGCTGCCCGCCCCTCCCCTCCCTGCTGCCCGGCCCAGGTCAGGCCCCATCCCTGCACCGAGGGGCAGAGTGGATGGCCTTCCTAATGTGCTGCCTGCCCTGCCCTCCCTGCTTAACCTTCCCTGGCTGCCCAGGCCCTGGGGCAGGGCCTCTCCCCGCACTGCTGGCACTTGGGGCCCTGACAGCTCTTTGTGGGGGGCTGTGCTGTGCATCATGGATGTTCAGCAGCCCCTCTGCCCACTAGATGCCAGTAGCACCCCCTCACGTTGTGGCATCGAATGCAGCTTTAGACCTCACCATGTGCTCTGGGGGTAGGAACGCCTGAGAGCCTCGGCCCTCAGTGAAGAGCGCTCTCCGTTCGGTTCGGCCGCGCACGGCCTGCCCAGGCCTCTGGGCTTCTCTGCACGCTGCTCCGGGCTGCTGCCCTCTGAATTATTTACAGTTCCCACCGGACATCTTCCTCCCTCGTCACCCCTTTCACCATGGCCTTAACTGGGGTGCCCTGTCTTCCAAAAAGCCATCTGCGGAGCCCGGCGGGTTGGCTCCCCAGCGTCCCCCACTGCCTGCCCTTCCCCCATCCAGAGCCCGGCGGGTTGGCTCCCCAGCGTCCCGGCTCCCCAGCGTCCCCCACTGCCTGCCCTTCCCCCACAGCATGCATTTGCCCACATTGGCTGTGGGCCCCGGAGGGGCCGTTTCCACTCTGCCGCAGCCACAGGGCCAGGCCCATCTGCGCACAAGCCCCGCCCCTTCCTCTCCCGCAAGGCCCTGGCCCCAGGCACCTGGGAAGGAATGACCGCAGATGGAGAGCACCCACTTCTGCTAACACTCCACTGGGAACGACTTGTTAAACCCTCACAGCCACTCTGGGAGGTAGTGTTAGCAGCACCCCCATTTTACAGATGTGGAAACTGAGGTTCCGGGTGGTGAAGGCCCCCTCCTGAGTCCCCCTGGAGTCACTGGCAGGTCCTGGGGGTGCCCATAGGACAGGAAGGCAGTATGCCTCTGAAACCTTGTAGGGTCTTCCTCACCCAAGGGCCCAGACAGGTCCCGATCTCCCAGCACCTACTGTGCGCCTCACCAGCTGCTGGGCCCCTTGCTACAGTTGAGGTCACCCTGCAGACCTGGCATGATCATTACCCCCATTCCACAGGTGGGAAAACTGAGGCTCCGCTTTGCAAGCAACTTACACAGGGCCCTCCAGCCAGGCCAGCCAGCTCTGAGCCCGGGCAGGGTCTTTCCATCCACCTGGTGCTGCCCCTGCCTCAGGGCCCCAGGAGAGGAATGTCTTGGGACCAGGGAGAGGCTCTGGATGGAGGAGGGGTCAGCCCACCAGCGACCTGCCTCCCGGTGGCAGGGCCAGTTGCGCCCACTGGCACACAAAGCGCAGTTCACACAAAAGGCGGTGGCTTTGCAGGTGACGGGCAGCCTCAGGATGGGGCTGGCAGCCAGAGCGCGATGCCCCTCACCTGCCTACTGACTGGACAGGAAATGTGGCGCCAGGTGAAAGCCCACAGCAGCGGCCCCCCTCGCGCCAGGCCCCGCGCTGGGCTCTGTTCACAGGCCAATGCCCCGAACCCCCATTTGACGGGTGAGGAAAGGGAGGCACCGAGAGGGGAGGGGCAGGAGTGGGCACCCACAGGTACTGCAGCAAAGACAGCGCCGAGCGCGGCGGGCGTGGAGCCGGGCTCCGGGCTCTGCCGGTGGCATGTGCCTGGCACAGTCTATTTGGCAAACTGCCGGGCATTTTCTCCTCCCCGTGGCCCAGCGGTTCTGCTGGCGGCCATGTTCCCACAGAACTCGCTGAATGCACGCGCCGGGCCAAGGGCCACCGAATCAGCCCCGACCGGGAAACGACTCCCACCTGTAACAGGAAGGATAGGCAGGCTGATGTAGGCCGCACGGAGAGCACACGCCCATGCGAGGAGCAAACACCGCGCACTGGCCTCACAAACGCAGCCTTTAGCGACCGACGCAATGCCAGTGCCGCCCGCGCCACCTCACCAGGGACACACCAGGCGCTGCTCCTCGCAGTGAGCAGACAGGAGGGCTGCTGATCTGGCGGCTGGCGGCCGGGAGGGCCGGGGCCCTCGGACACTGGCCTCGCCCCACCCCTGACCCCTGGACCCAGGCATTGTCACAGGAGCGTGTCCTGATCCCTTTACCTACTCTCCATGGAGCTTAACTCAGAAGGAGGGAGGAGCCAGGGGGCGAATGGAGGAAGGCGCAAGGGAAGGGCGGCCGGCAGCGGGGGCGGCTCCAGGCCTCCCGTGTCACCTGCTCAGCGCTCACCTGTGCTTCCCTCTCCTCCCTGTCCCCCCAGGCGAGGCGGTGGCCAGCTCCATGCATTCCTCCCGCTACCCGAGCCCGGCCGAGCTCGACGCCTACGCTGAGAAGGTGGCCAACAGCCCGCTGTCCATCAAGATCTTCCCCACCACCATCCGGGTGCCGCAGCACAAGCACCTGGGCCGCACCGTCAACGGCTACGACACGTGCGGCCAGCGCTACAGCCCCTACCCGC